AGCACGAAAAAGAAACCATTAAACCTTTTTTATGCAAATGCCCACTCTTTCTTATAGAAAGAGCCATGCTTATAACAGAATCTGGCATAGAGAACGAAAAAGTAATCCCAATACTCCTGAAATCAACAGACATTAATCACCAACAGGCTCTGGTCAACTTCGTAATTAGAACTAAAAGGGTACATCTGTACCCCTACTAACCACCTTGCACCGCACATAATTATTTGAGCCCAATATGTTTCGCTTTTTATAGTGAGTAATACATGAAGAAAAAGAGTGAGAAAGAAAAAAAAAGAAAGAAAAAAAAAATTAGAAGAGAGAACTGCCTATTTTAACGTTTAGAATCTTCATGTATATAATCTGTTTTTTATTGGTTTTCGGACAAAATTTTGAAGAAACGCGGTGGAGACGACTAGCCTATGGGTGGACGTCGGAGGGCCTAGGCTCAGCATTAGGATGAGTTGAGAAGCTTGACACAATGTACCGTGTCCGAGCTGGTCCTTGGGCGTCCAATATAGCCAATAAGCCTTTTGCTCGCCAGCCACTGAATTCTTCAACATTAAACAAAAGTTTAGATTTTAAAAATCCAATCTATCCAAATCTATATATCAAAAAAAGTAAATCTAATTTTAAAGGAATAGAAATCCTAAGGGAAGAGGCGTAAATATTCACTTCTGAATGACAAACGCCTATAAACTAAAACAACAACAACAACAACACTTGCTTGTTTTTTTTGGTCTCGAAATTTGAAAAATTGACATTTTGTTCCGTTGGGGGGGTGGGGGGTGAGGTCACCCTTTTTAGATCATAATTTTTTAATTTTTTAAATATTTTTTGTTTGTATTATAAAATAAATAAATTAAAAAAAACTCACAAAGGGGGGTGTTTTGTTACAAAATACACACACTAAAAAAACTAAAGTGGAGCGGGGGGGGGGGGGTAACCCCCCCTCTTGCGTACGCGCCTGGGCGGAAGGTTGGAGTAGCTTCTCAATTAACGTCCTTTTCTTTAATGGCAGAGGATCGGGGTAGCTACTATAGATTCACGTCCTATTCTTCAATGGCGTTTGATTGGGGGTAACCACCGAATTTACGTTATTTTCTTTAGACGCAGAGGGTCGGGGTAGCTACTAGATTTACTTTAAAGTTGATACTCTAAGACAATCCCAAATACTGAGATAATTACATAAATAGAAAGTTTTTAACCCCCATAATAACACCAAATGGTGTCCACCCGACAAAACAAGTTTAGAATAATGAATTTATTCGAGTAAACTCTACCAAAATATCTAAGTCTGAAACCCGGAAGTGCACGTAGAGTCGAGCCTCTATCCGTGACGTCACGAACGGGAGTCATGGGCTCAGTGAGAGTGAATGGCAGTGATATCCCTACGTAAATGCTATCCTGTCAGAGCTTAGATTTTTTGTTGTTAAGGAGTATATTTGATGGATTTTCTGTTTTCATTTGAATGAAGAATAACGAAGCAACATTTTCCAGTCGCTGATTTCTTTTTATATCCTCATATTCACCTATTTGGTAGAGATTTAAGACGAGTTTACTGCTTATAGGAATTAAAGTTAAATCGTGCACTTATGAATAGGCGGATGCATTATATTGTCATGATGAGCAGTTTTGTAAAACGAATAGGTCTAGAACTATGATAGTACTTATCATAGATGTGTGTGACTGCCTCAAAAAAGGATACAGTACCAGTTAAACATTTTATGTTGTAAAATATCAAACTTGAACGAGATCATGCAAGCGCGCTTCCTCTATAATATTTTGGCGAGTGATGCGGCTCTTGCATGAACGTTCGTAAAGCGAGCAGAATCGGGAGGTAAGACCAAGCCGCTGCTCTAGGCGCTGCTTGCTTGTGATGGAACGTACGTGCGCTAGTTATATGTTTATCGGCAATTGCAAGAGAATGAAAGCGACGTTGCCAGCTAAGAAAAACAACTAACAAAGACTTGCTCCTGACTACCGGTGTCAGAATTGGTAGATGAAGGATGTTCAGGGCCAAGGAAGGCGAAAGACATGGGAAAGAGGAAGAAGAAACCATCTGGAGATCGCTGTAGTGTATGGTAATGAACTGTGCATGGGTAGACAGCTACTGTTCACTCCGTGCCTGGGCCGATTTCAACACCAAAACAAAAATTACATGGTGAAAATATCGACTAATAGCACATCGTTGGCATGTATATGTCATAATTTTTAAAAGGGGAATTGATATTAATACTATGAAGTACTAGGGGAAGGTAAAGAATTGTACATAGAATTATGATTTATTAGACTTTTCAGCCTTTGAAACAAAAATATGCAGAAAATCGTATCACTCTGCACATGTTTGCTATGGAACATCCGGGTACGTGAATATACTCTCTCCCGGACGTGAGGTCATAAATAGTAGACCAGCGCCGTGACTGATTTTCTATGCAAAGAGAGGCGGATATTTTAGACATTTCAATTGAGGATTTCGAGTAGACAGATTTTTTGTGTGATATGCTAAGTAATTGAAAAACTTAAAAATAACATATACTTGCCGTAGGTAACAAATTAAGGGACATTTATTTGCTTAGAGTATCAACTTTAAATTTAGAATCATGGTTATGGCATATCTGGGGATATATAGTCATGGTAGTGTTAGCTCCATGGTTGAAGTTAAGAATTAAGTGATGGGACTTTCCTACAGAGGACTTGTTCATCTGAGAGCATTAGTGGTAATAGTAGAAACCTGTTATAATGAGGATATTGAGACCCTGAAAATGACCTTTTTATATCAGGTATCTTGTTGTATCAGGGTAAAAAAGAAGAACGAATATAAAGAGCAGGGACCAGCAAATCAGGTACCATATTTTTGCGATATCAGAGCTCTCTCAACGAGTTACCACTGTACTGGTAGAGATTTGTAATTCTATGAACAATTTGTTTTTTCTACATTCGAAGTGTCAATATTATCTCTTTTGGCGTTTTTTTAAACATTGATGCTTCGACTTCATAGGCTGAAAAGGAAAGCATCTATGAATCTTACCGAGATATTGTGTCAATGTATAATTTGTTCATGAAACGGTCGGCTAAGTCAGTACATTGTTTTTTTCACATCCTGGTCCATGCTACAAACAAGCAACAAATCAAGTTGATTAATCAGTTAAAAGAATTTGGACAATAGATAATTACACTGGGGGGTGTTTCACTAAAGCCCTAAAATCGATCTAAAATCGACTTGATCGATTTTAAGGGCCTAAAATTGATTTCGATTTTAGCAGCAGTTTCACTAAATAAATAAAATCGATTTATGCCTTAAAATCGATTTTAAGTTAGAGTGTGATCCATATCAATTTTAAATCAATTTTATCCTTATTTATTGCATAATTGATATGCTATGTTCAGCATTCATTGGTTTCAAAGGCGCAAGTGTCGGCTAGCTTCAATTTGAACATACATCTGAAAATGAAGAATTATGTTGGGGGAACAAATCTTTGTTCATAACCAATTTTGTTTTAAATCATCATAGTTAGGCATTATCAATACCAATTGTGGCACTCTGGAGGGGGGGGGGGGGAGCACAATGGCCCATTTTTTTCTTCAAAAATACATGGGCGGCCCATTTTCCCCTTAACCCTATCTAGCCTGGGGGGGGGGGGGAGGGCCTTATCCAGCCGGCGGCACGGGTGGGGGCCCAATTCGTGAGACAATATTTAGCAGCGAAACAGCCGGCCAATAATTCGCTCAGTGGGGGGGGGGGGGGGGGGGGGTAGTGAACAATAAAAACATTTATTGGGGGGGGGCCTCGAAAATTAGAAAAATTGCACCCCCCCCCTTGAGCGCCAGGGGAGGGGGCCCATCTCCAAAAAAAAGGTACAGTTAACGTGTTCGTTTTTTTCTCCAGGGGAGAGGGTTCGGACCCCCCCCCCAGGCTATGCAGTTTCAAAATAACCCATGCTAGATAGGGTATAAGTGCCCCTTTTACATCTGATTAACATCTCTTTTTGTTTATTAAAAGTGCACTTTTCCTTCATGTAGTTTGTCCCGTTTCACTTTGTTTTAAAGTTCCTTTTGTTATTTCTAATAACTTTTTATGTTTTCTTCTTAGAAGTGACCCTTTTCCATTTTGTTTTGTGCCCCTTTTTCTATATTTTTTTTACCATATGCGCTTACAATTATGTGTCCTTATTTCGTTCATAATCTCTCTCTCTCTCTCTCTCTCATTAACATAAAACGACACTCCCATCACAACGCTTTGCTTGCCGTAATTTGTTTCTTCATGAACACCCCCCCCCTTCCCCCACAAAAAAATAAAGAACAAAAATGAATAAATAAACACCAACTTATAACAATAACTCACCAGCATACAAACACACCATTCTTGAATCACATCATTGCCCTTTATCATCATGTAATTATTATCACCATGCGCTAGCGTACAATCTCATCTATTCACCCCCCCCCCTTTTATCTTCTTAAAAGACAAAAAATACATACAAAATAAAAATTAACACAGATTTTAAAGTATAATCAATATGTTTATGCTTTAATGAATGAAATCTACATTTTGTAAATGACGAGCATAGCAAACACATTCAAGTTATACAATTACAATATTTTAAATGACATAAATAAAAGTGCTCCTATGAAAGTATCAGCCAGTTGTTAAAACTACTGCAGCTGATATCTGCCACTCTCTATTCGAGTTACCTTTATGGAGATTAAAAGAGTAACACTTGTCACAAATATTTCTGTTACTCATACGGTTGTAGGATGATATACATTGTCATGTAAGGTCACGCAGTCGGTGAGAATGTGGTTTCTTGATGCAATAGTTTGTCTATATGAAATTAATCATCAATTCTTTTCTATCAGCTTGAAAAAAAATTCTAAGGACAACATAAGTCAGAGTTAATATATTTCCTACAGGAAAAATCTGTTTTCACTCAATCACAATGTTCTGTTGTTTATTTTGTATTTGTTGTTGTGCAATTGCTACAATAGCACTTTAAGCACCAACAGGTAATTATCGATACATAGTCATGCAAGAAGTGCCTCTAGGAAGAGTTCCAAATAGGTCATCAAACTGCTGCTCAGATGAATTGCTAATTAAGAAATTCCAATTTGATATTTTAAGATTTATTGCCATGAACAAAATTATCTATGTAATGTGAGTTTGGTGACAGAATAATAGCTTTTTATTACTTCTCTTTTCTTCTGCAAGATTCTAAAATTCTGTTTAAAATATAGGAAATCTTGGAAGTATCATTAAAACATTTACTTCCTTTAAAATATTTTATGTTAACATTTTATCAAACCCAAAACCTCAAACTCGATGGCAAAATTTTAGTACCTTGACTAGAGCATTTTTAATAGCTTATAGGAATTAATTTGTAAATCTTATTTTACAAGTAGTGTTGGTTGTAAAAAGTGACCGGTCCATGATACCAAGATCTGTATCTCATTGTGGTTCCTCTTGCTTAAAGCTGGAAAAGGGAGCTTCTATCTGTAGGCTGGCTGATGTTTCATAAGAGGCATAACGTTGCAGGTAATTCAGGCTCTGCAGTCTAGAATAGGAATTGAAAGTTATGTAATAAATAAATCAATTACTAAATACTAGTACAATTTTTCAATCAATCTTCAACTTTTGTATTTATGATTATTTCAAATACTTTAATTGCTAAATAAATAAAGTAGGAGAATAAAAAATAGTTACAGAAGATAAATGATTAATTGTTGCTTTGGATAAAAAAAAATATATCCTTTCATTACCATTTGTGTATGTTTTATCTAACAGAATGGGTAAGATGGGTATTAGACTTCTTACACGGATTATGAAAAATGATAAATCAATTTTGGTAATTGATACTGCTTACCTTTTCAATTTGAAGAGATGGACAATAAATGTTCATTTGTCATGAACTAGCAGTACATGCAGATGCCATAGCTCTTTATTTTGCAACCTAGGATTTAAAACAGAGATACATATATTTGTTATGAAGAGAGCACATCTATTTTTCAGAAAAGTAATTGTCACTGTATCAAATGTGTTCAAAAGAACATAAGTACATTTTTATCAGTAATTACAACAGTAATTTACATGTATTCGGTCCAAGACATTGTTACCAACCAAATTGTAAGTTTTAGACATTTGGAAGATTGACTATGGAGTCTAATCTTGATCGCGGATACCCTGCTCTTGAACCAAACACTGTTGTACACAGATTCAATGAACATTCCCCTGTCGTGAGTAGAAGGCAAAGAGGTATAAAACAAACAGAGCAGCTTTCATCATACATATATTCTCATTACAGGTTGTTCAATCACCTCTTTATTCATTAATTGCTGCCCTATTATTTGTACAATATTAATCAGGCTGGCTGATGAAGTAATTTATCTATGATTTAGACATGTCATAGTTGACTTCCCCCTCACATGGATTTATCAGTTTGCGATTGTACGTAGAAAAATTTAATGAATATCAAGATTTACACACTTAACAACAAATAAGTAATCTATTTATACATAGGTCTAGAAGAACCACACAAAAAAAACTTACCTTTGTTTTATTATTGGTGTGCAAATTTTACTAGTAAGAAGATCACTCCACAAGGCCGCTTAGCACAGTAGGATCTATAGCTGTACACCTAGACATTGAGCTTGAGTACATTCTGCATATCCAAACCCTTTCCTTGAGCCTGAGGCCAAGGAAGAATGAGAAGTCCAAGACTGTAGAGACACGGCAGAAGAGAACTTTTGAGTCTTGGACTAAAGCCAAGGTCTACTTGGTGGATACGACTTGTTGTCCACTCCATCTTTTAGTCCGACCCTGAAATTAAAAAAAAAAAAAATTAATTCAAGTATAGGGTTCTAGTCTAGAGCTTGGAGTTGGACTGTTAGGGACCCAAATACCGGGGACGGATCAAGGGGGGAGGGGGGGGGGGGGGGCACAGGGGGCACGTGCCCCCCCCAAATGTTAAAATCAGCAAAATTTTCCAAAAATGTACTGACCAACGGGGACATACCCCCCCCCCCGGCCAAATAAAAAAAAAATAAGTGTTACCTCCCCCGCCCCCCACTGAGCGAATTTGTGGCCGGCACGATTTTCAAATATTCGGGACCTAAAACAAAAAGAAATGCGCTCTTTACCCCCCCCCCCCCCCCCTCACTTACAGGTCTACATCTACCCTAGTCTAGATCTAGATTTATCAAGTATCATGTAGATCTAGACCTAGACTCTAGACTAAATCTACATCTAGAGTAGATCTAGACCTGGGTCTGACAGTAACACTCTAGGACTTCTAGATCTAGATCTAGAGTCTAATTTTCTTTCATAAAATTTTACCTTCAAAACAATAATCCTAGATCTAGACCCCTAGATCTATTGATTTTTAATAATTAGGCCCTAGGCCTAGCCCTAGGCCTAATAGATCTAGAATAGACCTAGAGTCTAGATCTATCATTTATAATTAGACCCTAGGCCTAGATCTAGACCTAGCTCTAGATCTATAGGCTAGACTAGTCTAGATCTAGAGTCTAGAAAATCTAGACCTAGATCTAGACCAGACTAGTCTCTACACTCTCGACTAGATCTAGGCCTAGGTCTAGAATAGATCTATCAACAAAAATAAGACAATGCTAAAAATAATAGATCTAACAGTTAGATCTATAGGGTCTAGACCTTTATCTAGGGCCTAGATCTTGATACTAAGCCCAAATCTACAACTAGTAGCATAACTAGTAAAACCACAATACTACTGCAAGAATAAACTAGACTAATGAGTTTGTACCAGTCTGTCCTAACCGAATAATAAACGTCGTTAGGTAATTACTATTGAACCTGCATGAATTTATATGAATGGGACTGAAATGGTTGAACCAGTGCAATTCGTCCACTTGGAGAGTGATATAAATTGATTTTATTTAAGATTTCGTTCAGTTATACAAAAATGAAATTGCATAATAATGAGAGGAACACTTTTCTTCTTCCAAAATAACAGATTTTTTAATCAACAGAATTGATATTTTCAAAGAAAAACAGATTTTACTTACTTTTCAAGGACTCTCACTGTAATTAAGCAAGGCCATTTTGTGATCGATTTACCCCAAACCTAAAGACACCTAAAAATCTATTTTAGCTTAAAATCGATTTGATGAAACAGCTCACATGTATCGGTTTTAAGCTAAAACTGATTCGGACTTAAAATTGATTTTTGAAATCGAAATCGATTTTAGTTGATGAAACACCCCCCAGGTACACGTATTGCATCAAATTATAAGCAAGCCTTTTATTTTTATTATTAATTGTTTCTTCAAACTATCGACTACTGCGGCAAAAAGAAAAAGTGAACCGTTTCAATAACAATTTTATTTATAATAAAGTTGGTTCCTGTGGGTGCAAAATGACCTTGAAGTAGTCAGATAGTCTGTCTTTAGTTCTCCATTTTTAGACTAGGTCTGGAGGTCTAGGCTTAGACCTCGACATTAATTCTCTGACTGTATTCTGCCCAATCACGTCATTCTTTCGACTCAAAATACACCCACAAGTGATCATGCTCTATTCTCATAGACCTCTCTAGTCATATTCTCATTTATCAGACTGGTACTGCACTGGTCCCTTGTTGTTCACGATCACCTTTGACTGGCCAAGAACCCAAGTTCACCTTATTATAGTTTCAACGCTCCTCTCAGCTCCGTTCCGTCTTTTAATATCTCGCAATCTGACACTATTCACACGTACATCGTCAATCCACGTACCGTACTGTAGAATTGCAATTGCAAGTGTAGAAATCAATTGTCGAATACCAATATAATGTCTCGAAAACTTTAATTTTGAAGCCTTTACTAACCACATTTCACGTTACTCACGTCGGGTCGATCACAATGTTATTATACAATGATTGCATCCATTCCAATTGTTGTCCAAAACCAAACAAGATCATAAAACGGAAATATGAAGTAGGGAGAAGAGGTTAAAATTCTGTCTTGTTTCCAAGGGTTACTGCCAGTCATTATTCGCGCTTTTCCTCCCCTCAAACTTATTAAATTTTAAAACCGACAAGAGATGGCGCTCTTGCATTAGTTTGGCATCTACATTTCCGGCCCCTTAATTTTCAGAGGCAAGCCGACAGAAAATTACACCTTTTCTTATACTTCCAAAAAACAATAATAACCATATGGCTTTCTCGAATCATTCTGATTAAATCTTATTCCTGTATTATTTTCAAAAGTTCCTGCTAATAAAAACTCAAAACCTTTTCAAAGTCAAACTATATACACGTAACTCAATGCAATAAAATATGCATAACTGTGGCTCTAACATGCCACAACACCTACATGACACAAAAAACACCTCAATGCCATCATTTAGAAGATACCAATGACAATTTAACCTTTAACTAGCTTATGAATGTCTATACTCCTGATTATTATCAGTTTGTCAAACAAAAACCAACCAATGTCCCTCTTGTGGCTCTTTTTACTATCTTTGGACAAGAAAGCCCGCTTGTGTCACAAAATGAAAGATTTTTGCATAGGTTAGTAACTTGTAAACTCACTATAAATGATGTTGGCACCTTAAGAAAACACTCTGGAATGCTGCAATGCAGCCCTATCTTAAAAAAGGCAAGTACTGTTGACTCCAATACATAGCACAGATAAACTGAATTTTGTTTTGCACCGATATAATAAAGACATGCACAATGAAATCAGGCCTTAGCTATCAATAGAATCTTGGTAACAATAATATGCTTTGGTCGTAAATCTGTCCAACTCTAAATTCTACTCAAACTACAATAAAAACAATGACAATGAGAGCCACAATATCGCAACAAAGATTTAAAATGGTTAAGAACTAGATTAACCACTACCTCTTATTTTAGGGTGTACACTTTCAAGTTCCACTGAATTCAGAAGTATACTGTGGACTAAGACTATCAAACAACTCTCCTTATCGAAACATGTCATCAGATGACTAGTCTTGATTCAAACTCTTGTCACTGAGTTGAATCCCTTTTTTAACAATGTTCGCAATAATTTTGGACTTTCGTTATTTTCTGTCTCTTTCAGAATTTGTACAAATAAACAACACAATCGAATGTCATGTCCCTTCTAACGAATGCAGTAAAGCATTTCTTTCGTGCAAACTAAGCATGCAAAGTGTCGTTTTATATGTACAGTAGCTATGTAACAACAAAGCAAATGACACGATTTGTTCAAATCATGCTATCAAACACTGCCATTTCTATAAAAGAACTTTCCAAATGTAAATATCCTGACACTAAATCTGAACATAGCAAAATTATTTCACCTCTAATTATATACAACGAACTCATTTGCAATAAAAACATTAACGTCTTCAAAATAGTCAAGTGTGTACAGTTCTGCCTTCACTAAGCACAATTAATGCCCATAATACAATTTTTATCGTCTTGTATAAACTCTTTGAAATTTTGTCTCAAAACCAAAATAGCATCTGCTTTAAAATAACCTGTACACCAAATATTTGCGTCAACACAAATATGCACATTATATACATTCCTTGATTCCTAAAAAATCTTGACATTGTATCCTTCAAAATAATAACCCATTGTCTTTTATAATCATGCACTTCACATAAATCTACACTTTAAAAGCAACACAAAATATGCTTCCAAATATCTCATATGACATTTTAAATACATGCAAGATTTTTCTCTCCTGAGTTCCTGACAAATATTTACCTGAAAAGTGGAACATGACCCAAAGTTTTGTATTTGACTTTTGTTTTCTACTCCCTTTTTTCTGTCACAGAAATATAAATTTAAATATTCATATTCTAGCAATTACATCATAGATGATCAAACAATAATTCATATATTTTACATATTCAATATTTCTATTATCTTCTCTTTCAACTTCTAAAAGACATCTGTGTCACTGTGCCCACCATTTCAAAGGTACATTGTACATACATTTTACACTCCTCAAATGCAATTCACTGAATAACAAAATATGCTTATGAAACTGTTAGAAATAGCATTCAAATTGGCAAGAATCTTTTCTACATGTATACATAAAATGCATTTTCACTGAGTCTCTGTCTATATCATGTTCAAATAATCTGACTTTTTCTTTTAAATGTCCAAAGTCTGAGTTTATTCCTTAGTCAGTCCATGATAGCCAGATTTTGCACAATAATCAAGTCTTTTAGTCTTTTTCGAATCTGCATACTCTGTGCCTCTGCTGTCATCTCTACGGCTTGATTACGCGACAGAATAGAAGGTGCAGAGTGGTCCAACTTGTGACTCCTAGTGAACAAATTCGCGTTTGGTCCAATGAAAACATTTCACTTGGTAAATGCATGAAGTGGCGGCGCTAGGCTCGCACCATATATCACAATGATAATCTTTTCTAAAATCAACATTTTCCAAGCTTGTGATCCAACAATTAAAGGCTTCGCGATTGATCCAAATATAGACTTGAGCTTTATTATGGCGGCGCTAGGCTCGCACCACTTATTACTTCACACATATAATTATCACAAACGGACTCCAAAATTGATTTCCAACTTGACTTGCTCCAAAATTTGATGAGTTGGTCCCGTGAAGAAACTTAAAAGGTGTCTCAATAGCGTATATCTCTTATGGAATCACAATTTCACAAATTCAAAGTGCTCATGAATCTCCTTCCAAGAGGAGACACAGTTTACTGATGGGTCGCGAATAGGTGCCCGTCTTGGTCTTCACCTCCGCCCGTCGAACCATGCCCTGTCGATCTGGAGTGATGCCGATGATTACTCCCATGAGCCAGAAGTTACGAGGTGC